CGATACGGTGAAAATCTCATGATCATGTGGCAGAAATCTTGCTTTCTCATTGAACAATTTGAATTTGAGGTATCATATAATCGAATATACTCAAACCTGGTAGGAATATGGTATATTCGACCATGGTAATGGTATACAGTGGTGTAGCCAGCCTGACAATTTAGTCATTCTATGCTAATATTTTGGTGTTCATTGACTGTGAAAACAATGAATTTCTAAAGAAATGAATAATGATTATAACATAAAATTTGCATAGCATGACTAAATTGTCAGGCTGGCTACGCCACTGAGGGTATAATAAGGTTCAATCCAATATACCAAAATAATTATGGTTTATTCGATCTTGGTGAGGTAACTGATATACTTGAATGCGATCTATACGACCTTACATAAGTTGAGCCTTGCTACCGTCGAACCTTACTACGAACCTTACCAAGGTCGAATGTACCATATTCCGGCATTTTTGGAGCGATTACTGAGAAATACTATCCGGTAGATAGCGCTTTCCAGCTTTCGTACACCCGAATTAAGGGACTAAATTTCAAAAAGAAAGGATTTTTAGACAACCAATGGAGGAAATAATTATCAATGTTCCCATCTGTTTTCAAGTATGCCTATATAAGCACAACTTTGGCACATAACTTGTGAGTTTAAGCAAATGAAGTTTTTGACGACACGTACGTTGATCCATCTTTTGAAGTTAGCTATGCCCTTTATTTCGTTAAAAACGTCACTTGCTAAAGCCCATGCACTAATAAACGTTTTCTAATGACCGGCGGCAAAATTAGACGGGAAAAGTTTAAAGGAAACCTGCAGATGATATAGACTCGATCGTCTACTATTACCTCTACTACAACTGGCTGCTTGTACTACATATTTACATTAAACGTTGTATCTGCAGTGCGTCGCCGTGACAACTAGCTGCGTTTTTACTCCTATAGAGTTTTCCTTCTTTAGCTTTTAAATATCCTAACAAATTAAAATAATAATTTCTGTTTTTTCTAACCTACCGCTTCAACGTCATACATCAAAATCCAATCTCCTGTCAAATCGCTACTGATATTGGTTATATTGGTCAGTTGACAATTTTCAACATCTTCTGTTGTTCTGTAATTGAATCCAACACACTGAGCTTTGTCTTTGCAGTAAGATAAACATTCTAACACGACAACTGGAGTGGTGATATGGTGTCTTGATATTATCTCATGTGGGGACAGTGATGGACCACCTAAGATTTAAAACTTTAACAATAAATCAAAAATTCAACAAATTCTCTCGAGGAATTATAATGAAACGCTAATGAAACACTAACCCGTTGTGACGATGTAATTTTTCTGTCCACATTGGTTTCCATAAATGGTTGCAATAATTGCAAGCAAAAGCAGAGACACTGTAACAATTTTGAGCATGATTCACTTTGACAAATTTAAAGCTATCACGGATCTGTGAAATAATAGCAAGTTTTACAAGCTTGTATGAAAATGCTAATACGAAAAACACCTGCATGTGTCGCTTTGGCAATAAACCTAAATGAGCGTAGTCATAATATATTAAAAGTTCAATTTGCCTAAACTACTTTCTATTTTAGTTTATATGAAGTCACCCACAAATCGTTAGCGATGTCAAACACTTAACATTACCAGAAATTATTGTCGCTTGTGTGCTAGCTATATATAGTCTGCATTCAATTCAATAGGCGCATTCGAGTTTTCCTGTAAAATAAATTGTGTCAAAATATAAAACGTCGCAACGTCAGAGCCACAGATGGATAAAACAGCTGTTTAGAGACGTTTTGGTTTATCGGAATCTTTTACTTTGGGTATTTCTCATGCAGTCTTATAAAATCGCTCACATTCATAGAACGTGTAACATGCCAAGAAATTTTGTTCCAGATGTTGTTTTTCCTATTCCTGAGATATATTTTTCTTAATGGGCCACTTTTTTTCCGCAGTCACTTTAAAAATATTATTATATAAGGCAAGCGTCACTTCCGGTGAAATGGAAATCAGTGATTGGCTGAGAGGAATTTTCAGCGGTGCATTACTTTCCCGTAATGGACCGGCGTTAGCGGTGATGTATTACCAGGCGGGAAAATTCTAAATGAAAAAGGCACAAATAAATGCTTCTTCATCCACTTCTAGTAGTTACTGTCACCTGCAACAATGACATTAATTCACGTATATTTAATTGTTCAGTAAAGTTCCTATTTTATACATGCAGCTACTTTATTTTAATCTTTTTCCTTATGTGTCGGAAACAGAAACATGAATGAATAATGAAATGAGATGCCTCATAAACTACTCTTGAGTCTCGTCGTATGAAAGTAAAAAAAAGCTAGCTTCAAGGTTCTCTCATCAAAACACAATCTACACAAAGATGGTGTTTGGTTTTATCAAAACACTCACCACCAGCCAGTAGCGTAGCTAGCCTGTCGATTTGTCCAGCTATGCTAATATATTTGTGTTCACTGCAACGAGCTAGCGCGATTGGTCTCCGAACTGAGAGAATCCAAATTCAATATGATCTTCCATTATAAAATGAAAAATAAACAGACTACGAACGGGCAGAATGGCAATCCATAACAAAATTCTTTCAAACATACAACATCTTATTTATCTTAACAAATCCTATATATACTGGCTCGTCTGGCCGCGCTGGATTTAGTTTAGTTTTATAACAGATCATAATTGGATACATTAACTTTTTTAAAAAAGAATATATAATATTATCTCATATCGGCAAAACCCATGGTGAATATTCATATATCCAGTTTTGCCTTTTGTAAGTGCATTAGCTTAAAATAGAAATCTCTCGGGCGAAACTGAATATAGCTATGAATATTCACCCCCCTCCAATTATCGCTCTAGTTACGCCCCTGAGTATGATAGCAAGCTTGTTAATATTTCATACTGGTTTGACAATGGCTTTGAAATAAAGTCGAAATAGCATCTTAAAATTCTTGTCTTGCTGTCTATAGCTCATATCTTGAGTCTGTTAGATATCCTTTTTCGGAGTACGTTTTTTCTTGTATTTAACTTTTTAATCAAAGCAACATTTTATTGTATGTACATGAGTGTTATATATAGAGTTTTACGCCACCCAGAAAACGAATCGTATTTATTTTATATAAACACACACAATATTATTTTCGGAAGCCAATCAAAAGCCTCGTGTAGTCGAAATAAATTCCACGCATCCATATCATATTCTCTAGTTATTGATTCCCAAAATTATTTTTCTGTTTGTCTGGTCCAAATTCCGACTCGAGGTTCGACAAGTGAGGTTCCCCTCCCTCCTCTTCCCCTTCTCCTACCCTCCTCTTCGCCTCCTTCCCCCCTTTCCTCCTCCCCTCCTCCTCCCTCCTCCTCCTCCTCCTCCCTCTCCTCCTCCTCCTCCCTCCTCCTCCCTTCCTCCCCATCCCTCCTCCTGCTCCTCCTCCTCCTCTCCTCCTCTCCTCCTTTTCTCCTCCTCCCTTCCTCCTCCTCTCCTCCTCCCTTCCTCTTCCCCTCCTCTTCCCCTCCTCCCCCTCTCCTCTCCTTTTGCGCCACCTCGGTCCTCTGCTGTTATACACGGGATAAATAATACTATTGAAACGTGGCTATCTTAAGCTCTCTATTATGACGTCTAACTCACTTGTTTAAGGGGCACTTCTTAAGGGGTACACTTACATGGCGAGAAAAGGAGCCTCGAAAAAGACCTGTAAAGGAGGTTTGTTGAGACATTATTCTTAAAAGACCGTAGACGCAGTTGTTAGAGAAACAACTGATCTGAGATGATGATTCGATCATGACGTCAGGAGACAGCTAGACAAAACGGTCTGCTTAGTCATTTGCCGCCATCAATTCTTACTATAGTATGGTATAAAGCGCGCCAAATTGAAATTTCATTTTGCAATAATTATTTCTTTTTGACTTGGCGATGGGAAGAAAATGTTTGGCAGGAGCAAATTCGCAACTCTATCATTTTATTTTCCGCTTTTTACAAAAAATTGCAACCGAACTCTTAGTCATACTAATTCTAACGTCCTGGGGTGATTTTTTCATTTTTATTGTAAAATTGCTTAATGGGCGAAGGAAACCATAATTTAATATGGTCGAGGATCTAACATCTGATTGGTTGTTTTTTTACTTACATCAGCTGGAATATCTGCATTGACTTCGTTCAAGTGTGACAATTAAAAATTGTGAGTTAGACATGCATGCGCACGGGCGAAAAATTAGAATTTGTTGTGTCCTAGGTTGCAGCTAATACAAATATTTGTGCGAGAAACCTGGCAAATCATGGAATGAAAGAGTAGGCTAAAATTCTCCCCAGAAACAGGATTTCCTTTCTACTTTCCCTCTGGAACAAATGAATAGAAAATAGCTGATTGGGAAAAATGCGACACAATAATATTTTTAATGTACAAGTAATTCGGACGCAAACTATTTGGACGGTTTGAAGGGACAATTGATTACAAATGACTACATTGTCCCTCTCAACAGTCCATAGATACTTTGCGGTTCGCGATTAGACCCAGTACCCTGATCGATTGGGAAATGGTTAATTGGGCCAATACGTGTGGGGCGAATTTATTTAAGTACAATAATATTTCAATGTACAAATGATTAGGACGCAAACTATTATTAATCTACAAATATGCATGCAAAATGAAAACATGAGCAGCTCCACAACGTTGAAGATTGGTGGCAACGGGTTATTGCTCTCCAGGTGTCACCATGATATGGTCCAGCAAGAAATATGTTCAAAAGAACGTCTGAAACGGCTTTTTATCGCCAATCTATCTATATAAGACACTGCTTCTCAAATTATCTATCTACGGACACCGAAGAAGGGAGGGGAGGTATATATATTGTAATAGAGATCCCGTTATTTATATTGTTGCACACTACATACAATATGTACTGAAGATGTATGATCGTTTATATATTAAAAGCAGGAGAAGACCGTGCAGACCTTATTGATATTCAACTTAAATCGTGCAAAAGGTTTTGCAAAAATTAATTTTCATGACAACCATAAAATTCAACTCTCATTGAGATATGTACATTCCAAGCCGTTGGATAAATGCGAATGAACCGAGCAGAAATATGAGGAATCACCGTGTGATAGACAGTGGAATTAATGTCGCTGTTTCCTTGGAATTCCTGTAGATGTGAAAAAAATATTTGACACTATTGTAATGTCGTATTACAGCTTGCATCATCATTTATTTTTAATTCATGCAGCATTCAGAATTGCACGTAGTACATTTTGCTGAAATATGCGACCAAAATTTATAATCGTGGCGCCACCCTTTTCTGCAGAGGCTTTTGTGTATGTTTCAAAATGAGTATCGAGGAGTCACGCAGGTGCGGTTTGGAAAATAAAATTTGAGAAACCTCAGTGCCAATTTATAATATACTAATGTGGCGTCAAATTACAATATTAGTATTGCGCAGTTCTATGTAGTTTGGTCGCAATGCATATTAATTCTTTCGTATATTAGAAATTAGATCGCGGTTGAGTAATTTTAAGGTTATTCCATTTCCTAGGGATTTTTAATTATTTTAATTGGGCTAAAGCATTTTATGAAACTTGAACACCTTTCAAGTTCCCATGACACCAAATTTAACCCCGAATGTTTATTTTTGCTTTGTAAAGAAAAATTTGGAATTTTTTTGAATTTTAGTAACTCTCCTCGCACTCACAATATTCTATTTTGTTTAATATTCAAATATCACCGTTGTGACATCACATCAAATGATAAGATTTATGAGGAGCGTCAACGTCTTGATGAATACGTATCCTTGCATGCGTATTATTTTTAATGATTCAAAATTAGAATAATACCTTGGCTGTTCCATTTTGTAAATATTTCTGAAATTTTTCCCCATCTTCACTGGAAGAAACGATGTAGCTTTTTACAAACTGATTATAACTGTTGCGTCCTTGGGTACTGATTCCTGTTACCAGAGTAAATCTTTGAAAATCAACCTGAAACCACTGGTAACGATTATTGTACCTGGATGTCCATGCCCCTGTTCTTCCATCTCGCGGTGTGAAATTTAATCTTCCATTAGCCGCCCGATGTTTTGTAGTCCATTGGCTTTTAGCCGTGATTTGTTCATCCTTAATATCACCATTTTCCATTCCGAGAGCCATTTTGCACGACGCTGTATCAATAGAAATAAATGTTGCATTTGTTGGTAATTTTGAATCGATTTTTTTTATACCTCATAGTTAGTGACGTCTTTATTACTCAGGGAAGTGACGTTCCCATATAACATGATTTTCCGACACATTCGAAACAAAATCATTCTTTACATCAGTGATTTGAAATTGATGGGCATATTTATGGAAAAGCAATATCATGCGACATCAAATCAATGTAAAAATCAAATTAATTACATAATTATTGCATTTGGGTGACATTGGATACTTTATTTGTCCTACTAAGAAGTTTTATTCTGGTTCACCTCTATGGTTTACCTCCGGGAAAGACTTAGTGTAGTGTGGACACACTGAAAACAATGATCTTATTCACACCTCATGAACAGGTCTTGCCTCTCGTGTTGAATGAGTGAAATACATACACTGTTAGCTTGTACGCAACGGTTCTTAGACCAAAGTCGGGTATTGAAGAATTTAATATTATCAATAATCATTACAAAACAGACCTGATGAATTTCTGCTGTTTTCTTCCTTATTCTTTATCTATAGAAAATTCATTACAAGCTGTAGTAATAAAGCGGATAATTTCTCACCCTCAGAATTTCTCAAAAGAGTAGTCCACTGTAGCTTATTATATACGATAAAATTTTATCTACCCCAAAAATCATCATTTTGGAGTAAAAAGTGCATTTTTTTGCAAGAATAGAAAAATCAACAAGTAAACAAAATTTTAAATAAATGCACCGTTTTATGCTAATTTTCAAAATATAACTAGAAATCCATGCTTGCAACACCCACTCGCCGTTTCAAACACAGCAAAAACAATATTCTGAGCTAGAGAGACCGAGGCTCATATGAAATAAGTCAAATGAGTTAATGGCTATCATATATGATTTGGCACAATCACCTTGTGTGGCGTAAAGAAATGAATCCTGCACAACATGAATAAATAACCCAACACCGCGGAAATTGGTATTCATACATTTCAAACTTCAAATATCTGTGGTTCATATTTGCATCCCTGCAACTATTATCAAAAAAACTATACCATAATAAGTTGAAAGCAAGTTTAATTTCTTCCACTCCTCGCACGCATCTGCCGGCTGTGAAATGGCCATTTTCAGACGATTCACTTCTGTGCAACAAATATTTTTTTGAACATTTGTAAATCTTTTTGCTTACTAAATTTAAACTCTAAGAAAAACTGAGAATTATAGCTAAGTCTATATGAATGCATGTATACCAATTTCCGCGGTGTCGATCGATCTATATAACCTTCCTCTCTGAAATCATGTACCTGTAAATCTTTTAAACTTTGCCTTTGAACATCTACTAACTGATTGCAACTAAAGTAATTACTCGCTAAATCAATAATATAAACCAGCCGGTTTAACAACAATTTCAAGGTAAAATTTAGAACTTGAACTACAAAACGAAGTTTTTAAAAGTACTTTATGCAAAGCATGTATTGACCTATATTGACGTCATTGACAGAGTATTGATCATGAATGTCTAGTCGCTCTCAATGTTCTCGCTAACAGGTATAAATTAAAGAACAATTATAATATCGCTGCTATTTCGCCGTTTGACAAGATGATGTGGTCGTATATGGGCGCGTTGACACGTGGTAGTTTGCACAGGATTGAAGATATATAACTATATAAGCGCGAATTCCAAAGGAAAAATGTAAGACAAAGATTTTTACATGAATCAATAAATAAAAACTTACTTTATCAGAATCCGTTGCTCTCCAAGTGAAACAGGTGCACAATTGGGAAAAAAATCCCTCCAAAGTTTGTTATTTTGGCGCTTCGAAATATTCGAACCGCCATTGTTTTAGTAGTAAATACGCATGCGCATGTCAGGCAAAGTCGCACTGCGCACGCGCAAACAGGAGAAATGGATTTTCCCTGTGGGTTTTCCCCGATTTCCCGCGTGAAAACAACAAAATAAAATCAAGGAATAAAGATCAAACCTTGTAATATTAACGAATAAATACACACACATCAAATATTGTTTAAAACACATTGTACATTTTGCTTGCTCATATGCTAAATCATTTCAATTCATTGGCTATTGTTTCAAAGTACCGTTTTATGTTAACATCTTAATTCATTAAAAATTGCGTCAGGTAAAAAACCCACCTGTATCAAACAGGACAGAGAATATATAATTATACATACAACTCACACAATCATGGGACAAGTTAAATATTTCGCTTAACTATAGCCTTCACATCGCTAACAAAGCCTGGAGGAATAGCAGAATCCTTAGATATATTCATCTGTGCAAGGGCAGTCTCATGGCACAATACAAATGAGTGTGACATGCACTTTTTGCACATTATCCATAGTCAAATCAGATGCCAATGGTGGCTAGAGAAGATTTAGTTTTGGTATTTCTTGGACCTTTTGGCAAAGAATCAATGCAGCATTGTATAGAATTTAGAACTCATTGACTTTAGAATTTCCCTCAGTTTCTGTGTTGGAATTCAGATCATCATCATCAATGGTGTAGCTTTCTTCATCAAAGTCTTAATTGTTGTTTTCTGACTTGTTTGACATATGTCCCTCAACCAATTTGGAAGAATCCAAATTTTCCACATTTACAATTTCACTAACATTTCTCATTTTTTGTACATAGATCACAAGTTGGGGATAACTTTTCATCAGTCTTTGCTTGAGTTTAAAAGCTCTATATTTGGATGCATCGACATTCTCTGTGTCCTTAGCAATGATAACAAGTTTCTCCAGCAAATCTTTCATATACCTTATTTGCTTATTTGCAATGAGCTCAGTCTCGATTACTTTCTTACAGAAGACATCATAAGGCTTCTAATACACTGATGTAGATCTTTTAGTCTCCAATTGCTTTTTTGCTTCTGGTGAGAATTTTTGTATAATTGTAGTAACAAACTTTGTGATAGAGGACTTCCAGTGTTACACAGTCTTTCCCCCGGATTTGCACGAGTATCCATTCATCATCCCTTTTCTCGGCAGCTGTACGTAGAAGACAACCATCAATGGTTTTTGCCAACACGAGTGGGGTTCTTCTTCTCTTCTTAGTTACCTGGTGTGAACAAGATATTTAAAAACCAAACCCGAGAATGTTGTGCTACTAGTGCACATTGCACTAGTATAATTATATCTATCAAAATGACCATGCATACCTTGTCTAGTGAGAACCAAGAGGCGTCTCTTCCACAAACAATACATATCTCTGGAAGTACGTTGGGCAGGGTCTTATTAACGTCTGCGACTGATTGGCGTGTAATATTTCGCCTTGGTTCTATTGGTTCCACTTCCACATTTATTTCTTCGGTAGAAGTTACAGTTTCAGAGCTTTCTTCTTTTTGCTGTTGTCTACGGATCTTTTCTTCATCACATAATCTCTTCCAGTATTTCATATGATGGTGCCATTCTAAGTTAATGCTGTCAGGGCTCTTTTCCGTGTATGAATTGACAGATCCGTCATCGATGTTCGCGTACGATTTCTTAGCTATTTCAGCTTGTTGACATTTACGTTTGGCCCATTTAGACATACACTCAAGAAATTTCTAAGCCTTTGGCGTGTAACTTTGCAAAGTTGCTCCGTAACGCCATCAAAATGAATAAAACATGAGGATATTCGAGTTTTATAAATATCTTCAGCCATTATTGTTTTGCATAACTAAACGTGTTTCCACTTCGAAGCATGTGCGTATTTATGCGCGTGCGCAGTGCGAGTTTGCCTGACAAGCGCATGCATATTTGCTACTAAAACAATGGCGGTTCGAATATTTCAAAACGCGAAATTAGCAAACTTTGGAGAGATTGTTTTCCTAATTGTGCACCTGTTTTGCTTGGGGAACAACGGATTCTGATAAAGTAAATTTTTATCTATTGATTCATGTGAAAATTATGTAATTCCACGAGGGGTGCAACGGATTCCGTTTTCTAAGCATCTTTTGGATGCTAATTCCACGGCCTAGTATTGCTTATGTTCAGAAGCTCTATATTAAAGACTGGCACGTGCGCCGAAGTTAACGCCAGAACAGGCGTCTTGTATCCATTTGAAATTATGTCTTTTATTTGTTTGTATGTCGTTGTTTACCTTGTAGTCTGGTCTTTCTTTGACAAGTGGTATATAATAAAAAACGTATTTACCGAAAACTCAGAAAACATTATGTTTTGTTGACCCTCGACCATCGATATTTTACTCGGCTTCGCGTCGTGAAATATCGACAGGTCTCGGGTCCACAAAACATAATGTTTCCTTCGTTCGCAGTAAATAAGTGTTAAATGCTCGTTTTCTGATGAATTATAGCGAAATATATATAGCAAAATATCCGAAAGGTCAAACTTAATGTTTGTAAACGTTAGCTTGGCAACTTGCCCTTTGGGCTTGTGCCAGTTGTGCGCAAGGACTGCACGCACTTGGTTAAAACATAGCGCAAAACTCAACCTCACAAAACACGGAATTTGTAGACGGCGTCTTTAATTGTTTATTCTAGTTTAATATCAACAAAACTTAAATGGTATAATATAGATTATAATTTTTGGTTTGTTATATTTTTCACACGGGCCACAGCTTTAATTATGTTGACCAGTTGATATTTTGTGCATTATCAAATTTCTCTGAGCAATATTATGATGTTCATTGTGCGACACTCATGTTTTTTTATTGTAATAAACAATGTCACACTATGAACATCATTGATATAGGTTCATTACTTTCATCATACATACAGTCTCTATCATTTATACGATTTGAGCCTTTTCCGTGTTCCACGTCTCCGATTTGAGGAGCTAGTCGAGAAAAATCGAATTACAACCAAAATATACATGGGGAGTGAATTGTGCTGAAATGTGCATATATCAAAATATATATGAAGTAATTTTTTTGTGAGTTAAGAGTCTTTTGTGAATATTTATTTACAATGCATGGGTTATATTTATGCCATAAGTTATATTCATGCCAACTGCCACCTTTCAACATGCTACTAGCAACGA